GGTAAACTTTCTCTGGAGAACTGTCCTTTGTTATGGAGGATGCTCTGGACATGTTACATAATGACTACTCTTTTTCTCTTCCTGAATGAGCAACAAGGGGATCTTTTACGGATTTTCACCATGATAGCCTGTAGGGTTTCTGTAGGTAAAACCTAAGAATGTGTGTATCACCCTAACATTGCAGCCTCAGGAGTATCTCACTCTCAGGCTTGTCCACACTCAGCCTCCAGCAATTCTAGCATCTTCTGTCCAGGTAAGCAAGTCTCAGCTGTGACTCTGGAGGTACCTGTCTCACCAGATTTTGAAGTTGCAGTTTGCCCTATGACCTCAGTTCTCTGGTGAGTGGAGAAAAGTTGTTGATTTTCAATTTGTTCAGCTTGTTCTTGTTGTAAGAACAGGAGTGAGGACTTCTAGGCTCTTTATGTCAGAGATGAAACCAGATGTGTTCTCTGTATATAATTTCAATTCTTTCAAATTTGTGAGGCTTGTTCTTTGGCACAGAATATAGTCTGTCTTGGTGAATATTCCATGGGCTTTTAGAAAAAAAAAAAGTGTACTTTGTTGCCTTTGGGTGGAGTGTTTTGTATATGTCAATTAGATTCTTTGGTTCATTGAGTTGTTCAGTTCTTCTACACCTGTACTGATTTTCTGTCTGGTAGTTCTATCAGTTGCTAAGAGTAAAGAAGTTGAAGTTCCCACTCTAATTGTGAGTTTATCTATTTCTCCTTTTAGTGCTATTATTTTTTAACAGCTTTATTGAGACAATTCACGTATCATACAATTCACCCATTTAAAGTATACAAATCAGCAGTTTGTACTGTAGTCACAGATAACATGCAACTAATACCACAGACAATTTTAGAACGTTTTTCTCACCCTAAGAGAAACCTTGTACCCTTTATCTATCACCTCTCTTTCCCCACACCTAGCCCTAAGCAACTAGTTATTTACTTTCTATAGAAATTGATGGATTTTTCTGTCTTAATCCTTTGGATAGGGATAACAGGCTTTTCTTGGAGTTTTTTGGGGGGGTTGTTTTTTTTGTTGTGTTTTGTTTTCTATTCTTTTGGTTTTTTGACTCTGCCTGTTGGTGGTTCTGGGTTGGAAGTTCCTACAGCATCCTATCTGAAGTATATGGGAGGCAATAAGGAAGCCTCGGGAGTTTACCATTGCTGTGTTGCTTCTCAAGTCCCAGGGTCATAGTCTGTCTATCTTCATTATGTCTTTCAGAGTCTTCCAATGCTTGTTTGTTGTATTATGACCAGGGTGTTTTAGTTGTAAGAGAAAGAACCTTGGAAGATTGGGGCTCCCAAAATGTGTTTTGCCTCCAAAATCCAAAGGGACCCACAAGTGTGTATCTGTTTCTTCAAGTGGGCAGTTCTGGATGTAACTCTTCTTTTCTGTTTGAAACTTTACCAATGTAGCAGACACCTGAGCTTTTGCAGGCTTTCTCTCTCACCTCTAGTAGGCATGTGTCATATTAAGTATCAGGTGTGCTTGCTACTTCCAGTTTGATTTCCCCTCACCAATACATATATTAATGTCTTAGTGAAGGGACTGTCTTCCTGACCCTCCCAGAGGTTTCCAGGTGGTGGCTAAGCAGGTTAGGCCACATTGGATCCACTTCAACATTCCCATTTCTCTAAGCCTTTGATCTCCTTCCTCTAGACTGTGCAGTGGAAGTTCTAGCATCTCTGTCTCATTGACTGTAGGCCTCTACTGAAGCAGGACTTCTATTAACCATTATAGGTACTCATACTAACACATTAAATGCTGAGGACTTGTGAAACACCCTTCTTGGCCTGATCCAACCTTAGACTTATTCTCACTGGCTAATGTATTATACTTAGACTCCATTTCCATGCTTACTCTCCAGATTTCTGCAAATAAAATTTGACAAGATTCTACAACTCCTTCATGTACATAATCTCTCCCAGGAGCAGCCCTTGCAATTAACTCTCTGAATCATGCTGGGATTTTGCTCTCTCTGTGGCCCTAGAGGCAGTGAGTATTGTTCCTGCCTGAAGAAGATAGGAATTTCCTTTTTAGGTAACCACACCAGATGAAGTCAGTGAAATCTTTTTGTTAAAGTGAATGCTTGTTTTCTTAGATAGTAAGAAGGGCTGTTTCTGATGTGAAGAAATGTTTAGAGATATTAGAGGTTTAAGGTCCTTAGCTTTGTGTCTACACAAAGGTTTCCATCTCAATTCTTAAGTCCTCACCCCTTCCCACAAGAACCTTTACCTTACCGTAAGAGACTTAGCATAAGTATACTTTTACCTGGTATGTGATTCTGCAGCCTGTACATTCAGGCCTCAGGCATGTCCCTCCCACAGCTTCATAAAATAAGAATTCCTTTAAAGCCACCATAGAAACTTTCTGATTCTCTACCTATGCCTTGAGTTGAGAGTTCAAGAAGGCACTAAGCTTATCTTTTTTTTTTTTTTTTTTTTTTGGAAGGGGGTTGGGATTTGGGGAAATCTTTTAAAGCAGTCAAAAGAAGCCATCTCCCTCCACAATCTTTGAATTCACCATGATGCCACAGCAGTCAAGTGCCACAGCACTTGATCTCCCAGTGCCTTACCCTCCACTGGCAGTCTTAGTGATAATTTGAGTAATTGTGATACCGCAACTTCGAGTAATCAGTGATGTCCCATTTTTCCCTGGTAATGAGGTCATTCATGCACTTACCAACCCAATCCCAGAATCCCACTTTGATGGACTGTTTCCTTAGACTACTCCCTACTAAATCAATCAGGGTACTGGCTGGAAAACACACAGAAGCTGGGATTTTGAAGAGAAATTAATGGAGAAGGACTATTTACAGAAGTTCAGGCAGGGTTCAGAGCACCCACAAGGATGATAAAGTACCTGGGAACTTACAGCAGTAGGAAGGTTTACCGTTCTTAATCTTTTAGCATGAAGGACAAAGGAAGATCTGGAGGCTGTTGAGACTTAGAACCAACAGGAGGGGCTGCCCAATAAAAGCTCTGGTCAGAGATGTAGAGATGGAGTGGGATAGAAATAGTCAACCTTAACATAAAAGCAATGAAAAAACTGGCAAAACTTATCAGAATTGAATTTTTCAGAACTCTGGAAATTAACAAAAGGCTTACAGCAATCCAGAGTGCGTTTATTCAAGAAAAGTGACTGAATCTCAAAAAGAACAGAGACCTTTGTGATATTTTAACCTATAGTCCCAACTTCTAGTCTTAACCTTGAAAACCAAGAATCTGCCATCACAGTTAAAACCAGCAGCTGGACAACAATTGGAAAGGGGTGGAAGGAAGTTGGAGCATCTTCAAAGGGTGTTTCACTGAAAAACCCTACTTGCAAGCCTGTCTTTATTTCCTCAGTCAGAGATCACCAGTGCAAAAAGCCTCTTCTCTGAGGGTATTTGTCAAAAATTGTCAAAACAATTATAGGCAATTGCTTAACTTCACAGATGCCTGAGGCAGTGGGTAGCTGTTGGGGCAAACAATAGACTAAGGTTTCCACGGGGGCTTTGAAAAGCACTAACATATTCCTAGGAGTATGTAAGGTCATGTGCATGCAAAAGGATGTGAGCATGCTCAGAAAAGACCCAAGAAGGCCCTGAGCTCTCACCTCTGCTTGCAGGAAGTGAGACTCTGTGCAAGCAGGAAGTGAAGGCTAAGGCAGAGTTGTCAACTGCCTGGTTGAGTGTGACTGGAGCCTAGTGAGAACTAGAGCCATACAGGAGGGTCCATCCAGGGGAGCTAGCTGGAACCAGTTGGTAAGGGAATCCTGGATTAGTACAAAAATCTAAGGCAAGAGAATCCATAGAAGTAGGTCTAGCTCTTGCCTTGAGATCTTTGATCATCCAAGATGAAATAATGGCAAAGCCTTTTTTGGAGGATCGTGGTGGCCCAGGGAAAAATAAAGCCCACGGAGAAACAAAATTATCAATGGTTGCCAGAGACTTGTCAGGGGGTTTAGGGGATGGGGGTTGGTTGCAAGTGGACACAAGGAACATTTGGGGATATGAGAAGTATTTTATATCTTGATGGTGGTGTTAGTTAAATAATTGCATATATTTCAAAACTCATTCAATTGTACACTTAAAATGGGTGAATTTTATTGTATGTTTGTATGTAACTATACCTCTATTAACTAGACTTTTTATAAAAAAAGAAGAAAAAGAAAATATTCAACTTTTCTCTCTTCCTGCCCTTTACCCTCCTGCTATACCTCCCTTGTCCTAATTCAGCCTGAAACCAGCTATCAGGCAGCCTTGGAGGTTGGGTCTGTAGAGGTCACCTTGTTGGATTACAGAGAAAGGCAAAGACTGAGTTGAGGGGTGGAGAAAAGAGAAAACAGTCAGCACAGGGGGTCCTGTGAAAACAACAGTAGATTAATCTCTCCTCACCAGAGGATAGCACTTCTGGTGGGAAAACAAGGCATCCAACAACTGGAGCTGCCCAGATTGGGATCAGAGGGCTCATGACTCGCTGCAGAAAGATGCCAAGCAGGAGTCTGAGATGGGATTCCTCTGTTGTGTGGGAGAAGACCCTCAAACTACATGATTCAGATTCTGAAATTACCTCTGTAAGCAATCTGTGGGCATACATTTGTAGGATAAATTCCTTAAAATTATGTTTTTTAAGCTCTTCGATATATATGTGTTCTAGCTAAATTGGTGACTTTTTCTATTACATGACTTTTATAACGTATTTCAAATTCTGTCATTGCACTGGTTCTAGTAAGCCAAATTCAGACTGTAACATGGAAAAAGCTTACTTTTCCTTTGCTGCTAACATAGGGATGTTGCGTCATCTGAAAACTGCTAATAAAATAAGCACACACATACCTCACCTGATTCCAGTGCTCAGTTTTAAAAGGAATTTATATTTCTGTTGTGTACTCTGTTGACCATCCTAATCCTTTATTTTAACAAAGGAAAAGACTGTCTCTAATGGAAAGAATTCTGAGACTTTCCTTTTGAACTCACAGTGTCCTTCTCCCCCTCTTTCCCCTTCCAGGAGGACAACTGTGAGTTTTGTGGCTTACTGCTGCTCCACCCAGTGTCTGCAGACTTTTGACCTACTGAGTTGATAAACACTCAAGAGCCTCAGGAGTGTTGCCAGCTTGACACTGCAGTTGCCTGCATATCGCACAGTGTGACAGAGGGACAGGAGAGTCCAGCCAGGCCCAACAGGCCCTTCCGATCTGTCCTGTCACACTTGGGGACTGCAGGACTCTGGAAATGTCATGATCGAGCTTCAGAGCTGAAATGCCTTCACCCTTCCCCCAAGTTGGAATATATCCTTCCCCAAATTAAGAACCCTTTGTCTTCCGTGTTTTTCTTTTATGTCAGCGAGTCTCTTATGCAGACTATTTAGTTTGATGTGCCTCCCCAAATCTAATTTAGAGCAAGTTTAAGCTCCCTGAAGAAATGTAATTTGATAATATAACCAAATTAACTTTTGAACACACATACTTTCAGTGGTATCTGTAATCTTCTCATCTCTCTTTCTTTCCCCAGAGAATTATTCCCCAGAGGTTATTCTCCGTGTTTTTAACAAATTTCAGTAAACCCTGTGACCTCAATAGTATTGAATAGTGGTGGGGGGGATGGGTGCCTGAGTTGGCTTCCAAGTTAGACTCCAGTAGGGGCTTCATGAGGGTCCTGGCACATACCCTCTGGAAAGTTACAACCTTGTTTATAAAGTTTTGCAACATATTAAGAGACTTTTGTGAGAGGGTTTTAAAAATAAAACTGTAGATTATAAATGAAATACACACTTAATTTGAAAAACTACAGAAAAATAATTTTTGAATTTTTAATTTCCTGATAAGATTTTTTTATATGAGAAGAGGGACATATGAGGCTTTAAAAGATCTGATCCTTTTCTTTCTAGATTTAAACATTTTCTGGCTACTGAGAAAGGGAGAGAAAAAACACATTAATATATGATCTCTGGTGTTTTTTGTTAGATGGGTTATGGTTAAATTTATATTGACTTTGAAATATTTTTGTTACATATGACAAACAGGCTTCAGCTACTTCTGCTACTAGTTTTTAGCAAGGTGATTCTAAGTACAGCCTGTGCACATTTATTTAAATACCTGGTGCATTAGATCATCTTCATTTTGACCTTAGGTTTCTTATGTACTTGACACACTGTTGTCCAGATAACATTGAGAAAACACAGGAAAAAGCAGGTCCAAATTCAGCCTTGGACTTTTGCAAAAAGGCCATAAATGGAAAGTGTGAGATTATGCTCTGACATAAGATAATGCTCTTAATGGAGGACTCACATACTTGCTCTTCCTTTGAAAGGATTGCATTTTAATATTGCTTTGCTGCCAGATGTTCATCTGGTTGCTGTGAAGTGATTCTTTTTTTTACTTTTTTAAAAAAGTTTAATTATACATAGTTTTCTCTGAGACAGGACTAAAAGGGAACCAAGAAGTTTTACTTGGTAGGAAAATTATTTTCAAAAAATTTCAGACTTGTCAAAAATTTGGTTTATGGAATTTTATTAGCTGCCCTAAATCTGTAACGCTAGGCTCTAACAGTGCTAAAAATCCTACATAGTTACTGACAAATGTGTGATCTTTTCACAGTCACACCACCTGCTGCCTGGAAAGCAGACTATCCACATAGAATGGTGAAGGCAGAACATTATCAACTGTATTTCCACTGTTCTTACTTCCTCTTGTCCCTTTCATAACTTGGCCTCTTCAGCCTTAATATTTCAAAGGCTTATGGTATAATAGAAACTGAAGATCTATATCAAAATGTAACACTTCTTTCATCCTTTGGAATAATTGAAGTTTTAGTGTAACCCCTCCATGTATATAAATTGGGAGGTGAAAAATGTGGCATGAAATTTCACAAATGTGGTTGAGGCCTGTGTGGCTGCTACCTATCATTTAAGTGACAGTAATATGTTTCAACATCTTTCTACTTTACCCTCTACAATCATATGTCTTAAAATGGAACTATGAAATTTGCTAACCTGATATTCAGGATTCTGTTGAGATAAGGATATGTAATACTTTTAACTTGTTTGAAATTTTACAAAGACACTTACAATCCAAACAGCCTCTGTACAAGCAATGTGTGTTGAACACCAGCAGTGGGCTAGGCAGACAACCTTTGGGTGGCCTCAGCCTTAATCCTTGATGCAGCACCCAGCTTAATTGATGAGAAATGGAACTTATAATTTGGCTTCTTTGGTGCTGTTCATTATAAAAATTTTGTACTGGATTCACTGATGTCTTTTGATATTATAAAGAAGTGTTGTAGACTGGAGAAGATTTGCCTACAGTCTAAATATTTAATTGTGTCCAGAGCTTTGCAGAAAATTCTAAAGTTACTATATATATGTTTTCTTGAGCAATGGTTATACTAGGTAGAGAAATAATTCATGCAATTATAATAATGCCCAAAAAAGTGAGTTATTTGGAAAATACAGTCTGTTCAGGTAAGTTTACATCAGTAATCTGATATGTGGTTAATGGTAAATTTTAAAATACAGGATACCCTGTTGGGCATAGGCCTTCTTATGATATAGTACAAGGGGGGGGGGGTCCATTTAAAGTGGATTACCCTATCAGTGTTCTTCAAAATGCCCAATTGTTATCATACCAAAATCTTCAATTACATAACATTGTGTAGATGAATGAAATGTTGCATCTTCAATGAATAAAATATATATTTTGAGCACACTTTAACATTTTTTAAAATGATCAATACAAAAGAGTCCTGGCTAGTGGAGGATACATTTTGGTTAATAGAAAAGAATGATGAACTGCTTTGTTACCTGGCCCTCCTTTCTGGAAAAGCAAGGTCTGCATTAAACATCTTTTAGTCAACGTACTCAACACTCACTAAAACCTTTCACACTGGCTTGTCTGCCTAGTTTAAGGTACCTCTCACTTTTCTTCCACATTAAGCATTAAGAATTAAAATGTTTACAGTCTAAGAAAAAAGCCTTCAATACCAGTCAGCTTACGAGGCTTTGCACAGTTTTCCCTAAAATATATACCTATTTTGTACTCTCTTTCAAAGCCAATTTTAGAAATCATTAATAGTAAAATTAGGTTTCTGTTCCCTGAATTGAAAAATCAAACATGTTCATCTTAAACAAGATACATTGCTTCAGGAGAAATCAAAACATTTTTATTCAAATGATTTATGAACATGGATTCCTAACTAATGCAACCTGATGTAATTAAATATTGAGATGTAAATTCATTTCATAGACTTGTAATATTATTTAAAAATAAGGAATCTTGTTTTAAAATGTATCCTTACATAACCCTGGACATTTTATTATGATTTTATTATTTTTGTGGTTTCCACCAACTATTGTTTGCTCCTAATGAGGCTCTTCTACATTTCTCCAGGAATTAAGTGAATATCTTGCCTTCTCTTAAACTGATGGGATTTTTATAAGTCCGTATTCTTGAAAATAACTACATGTCTATCTAAAAATCATTCAAATCTCACTATCCCTACCCAGGAAGTACCTCCCTGTGCTATTAGCCAATAGATCTGAAAGTGATGCAAGTGTCTCTAGTAAAGGAATTGATCATAGCTGAGTGAGTGCTAACCTTGGTCAGGAAAAGAGATTGCTTTACAGCCTAGGATATTCTCTTTGAAGCATGACTATATGGTCCCTTGTACATCAGAGACAGAAATGTACTGGCAGTCCAGTGTGGTGGCTGGACAGAAGGTGGAGCATTTGGAGGTCATTTCTATATGTAATTAAGAGACTTGCAAGGGTTGGCCAGGTTTCTGCGCCCCCCCTCCCCCAATTCATCTTACAGCAGAGTGTGGATTATGCTTGTTACCTGTCAGGTTTTGCTTCTCATTGCAATTTTGAGACTATAGTAATCCAAGATCATTCTTTCTTTCCTTCCTCCCTCCCTCCCTCCCTCCCTTCCTCTCTCCCTCCCTTCTTTCCTCCTTTCTTTTTTATATAATGAAAAAATTTTCTAATACTCTGAGTCTGCCTACTGAAACATTTTGGCACCATTCATTTGTAGTGTGGACATTTTCTATAATTCATACTATATCCCGTTTAGTTGTTCTCACAGATACTGCTGTTTATAGAATAGTTGAGCTTGAACCATGCGAATGCCTAGAAATGTCAATGGTGGTGGCTTTATTGTTTTAACCAGATTCATTTTGCTAAGAAAAATAAAAGGACATTAAATACTTAAAGCCAGCCAGAATGGGGGAGTAAGGACCTCTGAAAATTCTCCTCTCCATAAAGACAAGGAGGAAATTTGCAAAGATTGTCAGAATCAACTTTTTTCAGAACTCTGGAAATTAACCTCATAGCAACCCAAGGAATATTTATGCAAGAGAAATAGCTGAATCTCAGTAAGAACAGTAAGCTTTGTGGCATTTTAACTAGTCCTATTTCCATTCCCCCTGCCCATTTCTAGCTCTGCTTATCCTTGAAAACCAACAGTCCGTAATGTAGAAGCAGCAGCGTAGAAGCCACTGGAAGGGGCAGAGTGGGGTTGGAGCTCCTTCAAAGCCTCATTCCCAGAGAACTGTCTGGTGGTTCCCTGGAAGACCTCACTTGCAAGGCTGTCTTTATTTTTCTGATCAGAGCTTGCCTGGTATGAAAAGCCTTTTCCACAGGGAAAAAAAAAAAATTCAATGAAAAAAAAAATCAGAAGCAGTTGTGGCTGCCTGAAGTAGTGAATAAACATTGGAGCAAACAACAGGCTAACCATAAACTTAAAAAAGGAAAAGCTGAGGAATGAGATATTCATAGAGGCTTTGGAAACGCTCTGCCATTCCTGGGAATTTAGATGGTCATATGCATGCACATGCCAAAGACGTTGCTCAAGCCAAGGATTGTTACTCCTGTTCAGGAAAGACCTGGGGACCTCCTAAACTGCCACCTTAGGTTGATCTTGATGATCTGCCCAAGCAGAAATTGAAGGTGAAGGCAGAGCTGTCAACTTCCTGGCTGAGTGTTGAAGTGTGTCCCAACATGCATACAAAGCCATCAGCAAAGACCGTGAGAGTTAACTGGTTTCAGGTGTTTAAGGAAATATCTGTCCAATCATTAGTTCACTAAGAAACTATCTGAGCAAGACTTCAGTGTCTATCTAATAGACTTTAAAGAATTAGTTCATATGACTTGCTAGATAAACAAAAACCAGCAACTACATCAAAACCTTGGCAAAGGGGTTAGTAAATCTAATTCCACAGTTATCCTATTATTTAAAATGTCCAGGGCTTCCCTGGTGGCGCAGTGGTTGGGAGTCCGGCTGCCGATGCAGGGGATGCGGGTTCGTGCCCCGGTCCAGGAAGATCTCACATGCCGTGGAGCGGCTGGTCCCATAAGCCATGGCCGCTGAGCCTGCGCGTCTGGAGCCCGTGATCCGCAATGGGAGAGGCCACAGCAGTGAGACGCCTGCATACCACAAAAAAAAAAAAAAAAAAGTTTTCCTCAGAAAATTATGAGACATGTAAAGAAATAAGTATGTCCCATACACAGTGGAAAAAGTCAATAAACTGTACTTGAGGAAGTCCAAACATTGGAATTTGCAGGCAGAGACTTTAAATCGGCTATTTAAAATATATTCAAATAACTAAAGTATGAAAATGATGTCTCACCGAATAGAAAGCATCAATAAAAAGATAGGAATTATTTAAAAGTAACCATATATAAATTGTAGAGTTTAAATACAATAACTGAAATGAAAAATTCTCTAGAGATGCCCAACATCATCTGCCTGCCATTGAGCAGGCAGAAGAAAGAATCAGCAAACTTGAATATAAATCAATTGAGATTAACCAGGCTGAGGAACAGAAAGAAAAGAGAATGAAGAAAAATTAATAGAGCCTCAGAAACTCATGGGATACTATAAGTGCACCAACATATGCATAATGGGAGTCAAATAAGGGGAGAAGAGAAAAAGAATATTTGAAAAAATAATAACCAAAGACTTCAAACTTTGATGAAAAATATTAATTTACATACCCAAGAAGCTCAATAAGACTGAAGCAGGATAAACTCAAATTCATGCCTGGACATATAATCATACTGTCAAAAGTTAAAGACAAGGAGAATATCTTGAAAGCAGCAAGGGAGAATTGACTCAGATGCAAGGAATTCCCATCAGAAACTGTGGAGGCCAGAAGGCAGTGGGATGACATATTTGAAGTGCTGAAGTAAATGACTATCAAACAAGAATTTTGTATCCCCAAAACAATCCTTTGAAAATGAAGAAGAAATTAAGGCACTCCCAGATAAATAAAAACAAAATTCATCATTAGCAAGCCTGCCCTACAAGAAATAATAAACAGAGTCCTTCAGGCTGCAATAAAAGGACAATAGACTAACTCAAATCCACATGAAGAAATAAAGAGCGATGATATTTACATAGGTAAATATGAAAGACCATAAATGAATTTTTGTTCATAACTCTTTTTTACTCCTATCTGATTTAAGAGGCAACTCCATTAAAAAATTATAAATCTGTATTGATGGTCACAAAGTGAAAAAACACAGAATCTGTGTGACAGTAACTGTACAAAGGAAGGGGGAGGGAACAAACCTATATGGGAACAAAATTTTTGTATACTACTGAAATTAAGTTGGTATTATTCCAAACTAGACTGCTGTATATTAAGATGTTAACTATAATCATCAGGGAAACCACTAAGAAAATAGCTAAATATATAGTAAAAGATACAAATAGGGAAATAAAATGGCACACTAAAAAATATACAACAGAAGGCATGGAAGTAATGGAAGAATAGAGGAACAAAAAGACATAAGACATAGAAAACAAGTAGATGTCAGACTAAATCCTACCTTATCAGTAATCACATTAAATGTAAATGAATTAAACACTCCAATTAAAAGGTAGAAATGCCAGAATGGGTAAAAATCATGACCCAACTATGTGCTGCTTACAAATCAATAACACAAACAGTTTGAAAGTAAAAAGATGGAAAAAGATACACCATGCAAACTTAACAAAAAGGAAGCTGGAGTGAATATATTAATCTCAGACAAAAGAGACCTTAAGGCAAAAATTGTTACTAGAGACAAAGACACTACATAACGATAAAAGGATCAGTCCATCAAGAAGACATAATCATGTACATATATGTACCTAACAACAGAGCTCCAAATACATGAAGCAAAAACTGATACAATTGATGGGAGAAATATCCAATTCAATAATAGCAGTTGGAGACTTCAGTGCCTCGCTTGCAATAATGGATAGAATAAGTAGAGAGAAGTCAGCAAGGAAATAGAAGACTTGAACAAC